ATGTTTTATAATATGTGTAAAATTCAAAATCACTCTGTGAGCACTCAGTGTTAGATTTTGTTAAAGATGAATTGCAAAATAATGTTTTTTGTATAGAAGACTTACAGATCCAGATGTTAATGTTTTAGATTCATTACGTTGTGTATTAGCAGCTTGAGTCTAAATAAATTATTGATATTTTTCTCATTAACGTTTAACACTTAAACTGATTATGTTTTGTACTTGAGTAGTTTTTAACTTTTTTTATGTTCGAAAGCTAATTACTTTAAATTGTCCTATGAATGATAAGTTCAGTAAATATTCTTATCTTTTAAGAACTATCAAAACAATCAGTTCAATTTTTTTTTTTTTTGTTATCAAAATCATCAAATGACAAATTCAAATTTCATTAATAATTTACTAATCTTTACAACATCAATTAATAGTCATTGACAGTTTCAACACTTATTTGAAACAATGTTTAATATGAAATAAATCTACTGAAGTATTATTGTATAATTAGCTTACTTTTGTTTGAACTTTTGAAGTTGACGAAGACATTGTTAATATTAAACTTTTAATTTCTACAAAAAAATAATTTTTTGTTTTTTTTTTATTTCAGCGAGTTTTATTTCCATATTGTTCAGATCACATCTCGAATTTTTTTCTTGGAAAAAATATACATTTAACAGATAAGAACCAAAAAAAATAATATCTATATGTATATAGATATACATAATAAAGAAATAAATTGAAAAAAACAAATTATTGACAATAACAAAATAGATTCATGTGATTTGATCATGAATAATAACAATGAAAAAAAAAATATATCGAAAGAATCATTTTAATTTTGTTTCTCGATTTGATAATATCGGAGTTGTATAAGTAAATAAATGACAGAAGTTTCTATTTATGTTTTTTTAGCAGAACTACTACCGGCTTTACCTTTCGGTGTCGTATTATTTGTGAAACCATTTTTTCGTTTGAGACCTTTGTTAGTAGCAATATTTGCTTCCTACAGCAAAAAAAGCATAGAATTTCAATTTTTCTATTATGAAATGAATTTATTCGAGAAAAAAACTTTTCTACTGATTTGCTACATATATATTTAATATTTGATACGTACGGCTTTTTTCATAGTTGGTGTTGTTGTAGTAACAGTACGAGATACAGTAAAAAATGAATCCAATCGACCTTGTTGTGTTATTGTTCGAGCTTTTGCTAATTTTTTTGCACCATTACGAATGCGATCGTCACTAGAAGAAGAAGAAAAAGATGAAAATTTGTTTTTGATGACAAATATATCATAACATGTCATTTTGAATCAATCAACTAAAAAAGCCTTTATGCTATATCTATTGATTTTGTACGACATCTGTATCATAGATGGCATAAAGGAAATATTTTGTGAAGTTCTATTGATTTCAAGTCGGAAATTTTTTTTTCTTTCTTAAAGTCATTCTACACTCGTGTTCTTGTTTGTTATTAGGGCAAAAAATGACCCACGTATTACAAAAGAGCAGGGTTGTATGACTCATTGCCTCGTTCTTTGTTGCCCAGTGCATCTTTTTTTCTTCCTAGCATTCTCGTACGTTCTTTTTTATCTGAACTATACGTGTCTATGTTAATCATTTTATATTTATTACCCTTTTTTCTTCCTGTTACATACGCAAAAAAATAGCTATATTAACAGCGAAATTTGTTCTCTTTTCTTTATATTTTGTTGCTTTTATTCAAACGCAATAAGGAAAATGGCTACTGCTTATTATATTAAAGCATATTATACAAAACCAAATCAACAACAAGAAATTCGTCGTTTTACAGTACGTTATATTTTAGTAAATTTTATTGAAATTTTATTTTTATTCATTTAGCTTGATATTTCTCCAGAAAACAATGTTTATAATGAATTACAAACAAAAGTTGCATCATATCTACCAAATGATCAATTAAAAGATATTATTCTTCAATATACTGATGAAGAAAATGAACATATTACATTTAGTTCAGATGATGAATTACGTTCAGCTATTGCCTTAAATAAAGATACAAAAACTTTAAAAGTTTATGTTACAATTGATCAAACAATTCCTCAGCAACAACAACAGCAAGATAGCACAACTAACAAAGAATGTCATGTTGGTGTTCAATGTGATGGTTGTAATGGTTCAGTTATAGGTTTTCGTTATAAATGTTTTGTTTGTCCAGATTATGATTTATGTGAAAAATGTTCATCGGCTGGCATTCATTCTGAACATAATATGATTAGAATAACAAAACCAGGCAGTTTTCATCATCCGTATGGTCATCATCATCATCATCATCATCGTCATATGCCTCCGCCGCCACCACCACCACCATTACCATTTATACCAACTCAAGATTATCTTGAAAAAATTCAAGCACAAATTCCTCAATGGTTACCAAATCATCCAAATACTGCTCATTTTCGAGCTCATATGCAGCAACATTTTGATTCAGTAAAAGCAAATACTCAAACACACATGCAAAATTCAAAACAATATCTTGAAAGTGTTGGACAATATTTACAACAAGCATTATCACCATTTGGTATTGATTGTGATTATCATGTTGATGAAGCAAAATCAACAACAACAACAAATCAACACGAAGAACCAGTTTCAACAACAACAAATCAACATGAAGAACCAGTTTCAACAACAACAGATCAACAACAAGAAGAACAACTTTCAACAACGAACACTATTTTTACAACAGACTCAGATGTTACATCAAATTCTTCAGTTTTAACACAAATTAATAATAATGAAGAACAAACTGCAAGTTCAATAATACCACCCGTTGAAAATTCAACTAAAATAAGAACTCCATTAGAACAAGCTATTGATGAATGTATGGAAAGAATGAAAGCCATGGGTTTTATTGATGCTAATGGAGCATTATGTGAACTTATTCGTTCAAAACAAGGCGATATTAACTTAGTTCTGGATGCAATTAATCCACGACATTATCAAACATAAATAAAACAAAAA